GTGCATGACCTCGTCCGCATGCTCCAGCAGCGCCTTCGTGCCCCGGGCCACGCGCGACGCCGTGTTGAGCGTCTCGATGGTCACCGACTTCAAAAACGACTTGGCGCCTATCCAGGTCCCGCCAATGACGATCCGGTACTATCCAAGAGCAGCATCGGATCGATCGTGGATACCTTTGCGCAGCCCGCGCACAACGCGTCGGTCTTTCCCGTACTGAGCCATGGGCAGCAAGATGAGGTCGGCGGCGCCCGCACCAATGTTGGTGATCGACCGCATCGGCACGACGCTCGCCAGGCACTTGTGGATCTGGTGCCTACGCATGCTACATGAGCTCAAGTATATCAAGGTATCAAGTCTGCACCGCGAAATGTCCTGGACCCACGAGAGAAGCGTTTGATGGCCGAGCGCGTCCCAGCCATCGACGCCCGTGAGTTTGATGTGACGCAGCGTCAGCTCCATGCCTTCGAGGACAAAGAGGTTGATGACTTCGAGGTAGTCGCCGGCCCGGAGCGCCTCATAGTCGACTCGCTGCGGCCGGTAGTCAATCTTGATCTTGCACGCGCGAATATCGACGCTTTGAAAGAACCACGCGGCCGCGCTGCTGACGTCGCCCTCGGCGAGCACAAGCGTCGGCGGCTGGAGCGACACCAAGCCGGACGACGCGACGGGGCGTCCGGCAATGGCGCCTCGCTTCCTTTGGGCGCAAAGTGCTTGAGAAAGTCGAGCACGTCTTGGTCGAGGTTGATGCGCAGCGGAAGGAGCTTGAGTTTGAGCCGGTGCTCTTCCGGAGACGCGCGGGGGCCGGGTGTAGCGCGTCCGGGCGCAGCGTCATCAGATGCAAGTGGAAGACCGGCGTGCCCGTCTCGCGCGGGTGCAGCGTGTCGGACTTCCAGTAGCACAGTAGCTTGCGGATCTGCGACGTGCTGATGTAGTCGAGCACTTCGAGGTCGCCAATCGCGAGCACCGTGTTGGACGCCAACGGCTGCGCCAAACTCTCTTCGTACAAGTCGAGGCGGAGCTACACAAGGGTCGTGGATGCCACGTGCTGGCGTTCGAGATGCCGTACCTTGATGTTGGTGAGGCTGAGCTCGAGCATCTCTTCCGTCTTGCGGTTCGTCGACGGACGGCCTACGCGCGGCTTGGCACTGCGCGCATGCTCGTCGACATAGTTGTCGAGGAGCGCGTCCAACAGTTGCTGCGTCTTCTTCACGGGCTTGGCCACTGTACTCGGGACGACCGGCGCTTTCGGCGGCGTCGACGTCGTCGCCCAGTCAAAGCCGCCGAAAAGGCGCATCTGCACGTTAAAGTCGCGGAGCAGGATGCTCTTGATGAGCACGGGCGTCGGCATCGGGTGGGCGCACTCCCTACACCCCAAACATCCGATATTTTCCCTCCAAACAAGCAAAAAAGGTGTACTTGGCGAGCGTCTCGTGGGCCCACGCGAGCTCTTTCTCGCCAAACGAGAGCGCCGCCGCCGTGCCGCTGATTGGAATCTCAATGTGGTGCATGTAGATCGGCGGCGTCGCGTCGTCGTCGTACCACCGCGCTACACATCGCCTCGTTGGACGCCATGTTTCTTGAAACATTGATAGTTACCCGTGTTTTCATTGTGCGTCGGCGATGCCAACGGGGACGCCATGTCGACGACACTGGCGGCTTTGGGGCTCAGCTCTTCGTCCTCGGTCATCTCTTGTGCGTCCGCGAGCAGCAGTCGGTCGAGCTCGAGGCGCATGTCGCCATCCAAGTTCATCTCGAGCTCGACTTCCTCGGTATCGTTGATGCTCAGGCTCATCGTGAGGAGGTCGTCGAGCGACAGGGTGCCTTGGTCCATGCCACCCTCGTCGTCGTCGTCGTCACTCTCAACGGCTTCAAACGACGACGCCACGGTTGGCGACGACGGGTGCTTGGTCGACTCCTTTGGCAACCAGCGGGCGCTGGCTTCATGGAGCACGGGCGACGGGGTGCGGCGCGGTACGGGCGTCGGCTCGGACGTGAACCACGGGTTCTCATTCACCGAAGGACGCGGCGCGTCGCCCGAGAAGAAGTCTTCGATCACGAGCGGCTTGGCCCGCGATGCCGCCGGCTTTTTGGCTTCGCGCACTTGGTTGTGCAGCAGGCGAGCTTCCGTGTCCGTCACGGTCGCCTTCATCGGCTTGTTGAACATGTGCAGATCGATTTGCTCCATAATGTTGAGCGGCGCACGGTCTCCCGTTGGCGACAGCGGCACGGGCCCGGCGTCGCGCTTCATCTCGCTTGTCTCGTCCAGAGGGGAGGCCTGGGACGCAAACTCGTCCCACCATGTGCCGCCGACCAGCACCAAGGTTTCAAACGAATCGAAGCAGACCTTGAGCTGGATCGTGCCGAGGCAGAGCTCGAGCTGCAGCTGCGTCTCGTTGACCGCGTCGCTCACGCGCACAAACACGTCGGCAAAGTCGAGCGACGCGACTTGGAGAAACCCGAGGTGCTCGATCGTCTCCTGCATCGAGCCGTCCGTGCGCGGCAGCGTGCGTCGCAGCCACTGGTCGTCAAGCGCATACACCGCTTCCGGGCGGCTCGGGTGGCAAAACAAACTCAGCTCGGCCACCGACACCTTGTAGCCTTGCACTTGGGCGTTCGTGACAAGGTTGGAGCTCAGCGCGGTTTTGCCGAGTACGAGGAGCGCGCGGGCGTCGATGCCGGCTGGCGCGTAGTCGATCACGCCGTGGTAGCACTGCAGCATGAGCTTCGTAAAGACCGTCTTCAGCGGCACGGCGAGCGCGACCGGCGTCTGCGTGCGATCGATCGCGTGCGTCGCCATGCTGGGCGTGTCCAGCGGCACGATCGCGCGCGGGTACTCGGTCAAAAGCACGCTGAGGCAGTCGTCGAGCCAATTCGAGTGCATGTCGTAGCGCCACGTGATGTGCGAAAAGTGCAGCTGCAAGCTGATGTCGCGCATGTCCTCGGCGATCTCGGTCGTCTCCATGAGCACGAGCAGCACCGGGCTCGGCTTCGGGACGCCCCAGCACGTCTTGTACAGGATCGGCGTCGACGCCTCAAAGAGCGAGAGGTCGGTCACCGACACATGCATGCGCGACGTCAGCGATCCGAGCCACTGCGTCACCTGGAACACGTGCGCCTGCGTAAACGCGAGCGAGTACGTTGCCGCCGTCGTCGTCGACGGCTGCAGTACCAACGTGCCTTCTTGGAGGTGGACGTCGAGCGACATAAAGCACGGCGAGAGCACGGACGTTCGCGAGAGGCCTGTGATGTCGACCGGGTTGATCGAAAGAAGCGCCTCGGTGAGGATCATGAGCCGGTCGTACGCGGCCTTTTGGAGCGTGATCGTCGCCGACGGCACCGTGACCGTCACATGGTACATGGACGCGGCGATCGCGACGGCCTGAAGCGCTTGCGCCTGCTGCCCCGGCTCGGCGCCGTCGTGCGACCCCACGTGGCCCTTCTCGAGCGACGCGTCGCTCGCAAACGTGTCGCGGAGGTTGGCCTTGAGGTCGTGTGCGGCTTGGAGGTCGTCGTGGGTCGGTGCCTGCAGCGCAAAGTCGATCGAGACGCCGCCTGGCATGCTCGTACTGTCGCAGATCGTCTCGGTGATCCGGTGGAGCGAGCGCTGGTCGCCGTCCATCGGGTAGTGCAAGAGCACGCGGAGGTGGTCGCACACAAGCGAGCGTGCCGAGAGCTTGAGCTTGGTGAGCTCGAGCACCAAGAGATCTTCGCAGTTGCCGCGGTTCGAGGACGGGCCAAAGCGGATCGGGTCCGACGGGACCAGTGGAAACCGGACGTGCACGCGCAGTAGCGGGACATGCACCTCGAGCGTCATGGGCGGTGACGTCGGCGGTGTCACGGACGGTGGCGGCGTCTTGGCCAACGCGTCCAGCGTCGACAAGAACGTTTGGAGACGCTGGAGCATGTACATGTCGTACTCGAGCTGCACTGGCTGGCAGTGCACCGTGCACGACGACGTGCCGTCGTCCTCGACCTTGTAGTAGAGTACCACGTCCTTCTCAGCACCACTCAGCTGCAAAATGCGACTCGAGAGGAGCGCGCCAGCGTCCATCGCGTCCAGCGACAGCCGCGGACAAATGAGTTCGTCGACCGTTAGCGTCGGCAGCGAGAGCGAGCAGCTCATCCAGCGCGGCAACAGCGCGATCTGAACGACAGCGTCTTGGATGCAGACCTCGAGGCGCTCGTGGGCGGCTATGTCCGGGAGGTCGGTCGGCGGCGCGTGGGACGGGTGCTCGTCATCAATGACGTTTTCATACAAGAGCGAGATTTGCACGTGGGCCACGTGGAGCTTGCACTTCGTGAGCACCTTGGTCGCGTCCGGCTGGTCCGACGGCGCAGGCAGCGCGCTTTGGTACATACTCGACGCGAGGAGCGACGCACCAGAAGCGCAGTCGTGAAAGTCGTCGTCGTCGAGGTCCGAGAGCCCGACGCTGTCGACCGACTCGGCCGACGAGATGTGCCGCATCGGCCGCAGCTTGGGTGGCGCGTGATGGATGGAAGAGGACGGGCGGTCCCTCGCGAGGAGCGCGCTCTGCCGGAGCTCGTCGTGGCTCTCCTTGTACTGCTGCAAGAGCCGCTCGATGCGCTGAAACTCGGTGAGCGATAGTGTGAACGCCCCGTCCGGCGCGTCGTCGCCCGCCGTGTCTTGAAGCCACGTCGGCGGCTGGTCGCACACCGACTGGTACAACGACGCGGTCGTCGGGGCAAACGCCCGCTTCGGCGACGTCGACGGCGGGCGCGTAAAGGTCGAGAGGATCTCGTGCAGCTGCGCGACGTGCGACGGCTGCAAGACGATGCCAACCGAATGCACAAACACGTCGACGTCGACGTCAGGGAGGCCAAGCGTGGGCACTTGCGCCTGCTTGAGCTGGATATACGTCACGTGCTCGGGCGGGCTCACAAGGATCGGGACGACCGTGCACGCCGCGCTCTTCTCGTCGTCCGACCACTCGTTCTCCATGCTGTCACGGTTCAGATGCGCGAGCTCGATGCGCCAGCCTTTCACGCGGAGGCTCTTGTGCAGCACGCCAAAGAGCGCGGCGGTCGACGCGGCCATCGATGTGCTCGCGGTCATCGTCATGTCCATGGGCGTCTCGTCGCAGACCTCGAGCCACTGCAAGCGGAGCATGAGCGCACACGGGCAGTGCAGCGGGTCCTCGAACGACACGCAGACGTTCGCGAGCGTGATCTTGATCTTGGACGTGACGCGCTCGATCCACGTCGCGACAAAGTCGAGGCCTTCTTGAGACACTTCGTCAGCCTCGTAGTCGTTCGTCAGCGGCGCGCTCGATGCCGGTGGCGTGGCCGGCGGCGTCATGGGCGCCGGGGCGGCCCCGGACGTTGGCTCCAGCACGATGTCCACGTCGTCGATCTCGACCATGCAGCTTTCGTTGGCAAGATTCGTGTACGAGACTTGGACGCGCACAGAGCCAAGGAAGCCCCGCTTGATCTGGAACGGCAGGCCCACGAGGAGCGCGTTGATGGCCGTCGTGTTGAGCTCGAGCTCAACGAGGTGCAGCGTGCCCTGGCCAAGGTGCACCTGGAGCTGGTTGAGGTCGAGGTCATGCAGGAGGAACTGCCCCAGCACGCGCTTGAGCACGAACTTGTAGAGCCGCTTGAGCGCCGGCTCCGTGAGCCGACTCAAGCTCCAGAACATGCTGAAATCGGATCTTCTCTCGTGGCCGATTTTAAAATATTACAATCCCCTACGGCAAGGTGCACTGGGTGTTTGTATGCAAATCCAAACTCTGTATTTAATTATTGCTGCGAGAAAACTGGCGGCGACCCATGCTTCTCGCGCAGAACGGCGGCGGCGGGCGCCATGCGCGCTCCGAAGCGGCCCTTCTGTACGTGGGCGTGGCACGAAGACATGCTCCGAGAAGGCGAAGATGGATAAAGAAAGCGTCGGCGATGGGCGAGGAAGGGCGAGGAACGAGGCAGGCGTGCGCATGAGTATCCATCCCCCGTACCACGCGACGAGGAAGCTTAAGAAAGCACCGGCGCGCGGTCCTTTGCAGGCGTCGCGGGACGAGAAGCGGTTCAGGCTGGCTGCTGTAGGCTGATGAGAAGACCAAGACGGGATGATAGATTACGATCGGTAGCTAGTAGGACAAGGATGGACATGGCGCCACACGACGATCGAATCCATGACGAGCTGCAACTCGATGGCATCGCTGTTCCGTGCCACCGCATGCAGCGCAATGTGCGATGGCAGTGGTAGCTCTTGGTCTGTTGCGATTTCGTCCGTCACCTCGAGGGACGTGGCATGGACGCCAAGGATGAGAGGTCGCGCTGTACAGAGAACCCACACGCGTCCTAGTAGATACAGTAACGAATGTAGCTCGATGCCAACGCAGCGTACCGAGGAGGACATGTACCGAGGCGATCCCGTGCGGCGCCACCCAATGTGTCCAGGACGAGGCTCCGTCCACGTGGCAGAAAATCGTGTTGCCCAGAGCCACCGCAAGTAGAGCATCCTCGGATGCGATGGTAAAGGTCGACCATGGAAAGGTCCGCGGGACACACGCGAGGTTGTGTAGCGTCGTTGGTGGTAAAAACGGCGCGGGAAAGCAGCGGCGGCCGTCGTCGAGCGCGATGGCACCGGCGACGTCCCGCCGTAGCGTCCACGGACTCCCATCGACGCGGGCTTCTTGCGCATCCTTGCACGGCTGGAAGGCGAGCAGCGCATCGCCGTACGTCCATCGCACGAGAAAGCACGTGCCAGACACATCATGCGCGACAAGGCCGACGGCGTCGATGAAGGCCAGACCCAGCAGCATCGAACTCGGTGGCAGGACGACGCGCTCGACGCATCGCCCCGACTCGACGTCGATGAGGTCGATGAACTGGGAGCTGTGTGCGACAGCAGCCACGCGCAGCGTGCCATACTGCGCAACGAGGGTGCTGGAGGGGTACCCCACAAACGCATTGGGCGACGGGGTCGCACTCACGCGAAACGGAGCTGACACGAGCCGCCACGACGCGTCGTCGCGTTCGTACACTGCAATGTACCCGTCCTTGACGGCGAATATCGCACTTGCTGCGTGCAGGACCACGGACGTGATCCGGGTCGACGGCATGACGGCCTCCAGCTCGACGGCACGGGCCTCGAGGTGCCGGATCTGGATGCGCCCGTCCGTGGCGCCAAGCGCGAGCCATGCGCCGCACGGGGAGACGCAGCAGTGCACGACGGGCGTCTCTGCGTAGACGTGGTCGACTTGGCGCATCCGCGTGCGGTCCCAGGCGTACACGTAGGCGCCGTTGGACGTGCAGACTATGAGCGTCGTCGAGGTGAGGGCGACGTGCTTGCCAAAGTACGGCAACTCGGCCTCGAGTAGCAGCGCCCACGAGCGATCGTAGATGCACACGCGGCTGGCGTGCGCAACGGCTACAAAGGCACCGTCGCCCGACCACGCGTGGCAGAAGCGGCCAACGCCAACGTTGCCGTAGGCCTTGGTGGTCCGAAGCGTACACGCCGCACTTGTCAGAGCTAGCACCTTGACACTGCCATCTTCACAGCCCAAGCTTAGTAGGTCGTTCTCTGCGCCTGGCACGGGCACGACGCTCGAGTTCCACGAGCTGTACGGAGCACAGGCGGCCGAGAGGACCACGCGCCGGACCTCCATGCTTGGAGTGAGCGGTGCAAGGCCATTGGATATGAATGCGCCAATCGTTGCCCAGTATATCTCGATATCGACATTGGATTGGTTGTCGTTTTAGCCTCCCATTTCGTATGGGCGACTGAGCTCATAAGCCGCGATTGATCGATTTTTAGAGGCCCCAGGAGACCACCCCTAATAATTGATATGAGGCCAGGATGCACTTTTAAAGGACGCTGGGGCACATAGAAATGCGCCGTCGAGGCCCGGAGCGCGAGAGCATCAGGGTTGGTGTGGTGCCACGTCACGAAGGCGGCCCGCGGCACCATGACAGCACGTAGGGCATTTCTAACGAAAGTGAGCGATAGCACACTACATAATACATGGGGTATAGCTAGTAGATGAATGTATTCGAGGATCGCTTTCTCAAATGCCGTTCTATTGTGCCCGTTCTTGAAATGGTTGGCCTTGTAAGGCTTGTGCATTCCTTGGCGTCGTTTGTGCGGTCAGCACGATTTGGGTCCTTGCAGATAGGGCACGGTAGCATGAGCTTCACGTGGCTCGCCTTGCGCTCGATGAAGCTTGTGAGGCTGGTGGTCGCATAGACACCCACCCACGCGCTCTGCATGGGCGCCACTTCAACGACCACTTGGTCGTAGTCGGTGCCCAAGGCTGCTTCATACTCGCTGCGGGGCGCATTTGTGTTGCTGCTCGTGGCACTCTTCGGCTTGACTTCGAGACGGGGCGCGGGCGCGCTTGCTTCGGCGAGAGCGGCCAAACACCTGAGGAGCGGCAAGACGAGTTCAGCGACGGCAGCGGCGCCGAT